GAGTGCAGTTTGATGGGATCGTAGCAACACGGCGAAATCCAGTGCCGAGTGATTCGAAATTCATCAAGTGTTACTTACCATGGACCATCGTGAAGCATCCCACGACCTTCGTCGAGAGGAGTCTGGCACTTATGGCCTTGACGAGAAGATCCACGATTCAGCTCATGTTGAGAATATCAAAGGCCAAGATGTCGGTGCTATTAGCGGTCTAAGCCTCGAGGAGCAGAAGAAAATCATGTGAGTCGGTTACAGCTGCCCAACTCTAGAGGAAATAGTAACATTAGGGAAGCCGACGAATCGACCTGCGACTTCTCCCGATCCTGGGTATTATGTACTCAATCTCGCTCATTGACCGAACAAATCTTGGTCTAGCACTTGTTGCGGGCATGCAAGAGGATCTAGGACTGGCGGTGGGAAACCGGTACACAGTAATCGTCATGGTCTTCTTTGTTGCATACATGTAAGTCACCCCAATGAATTCATGTTCCGGTCTTCAAGACTAGAGGAAAGACTTGTACTGACGTAAATTCAACAGTATTTTCGAGATTCCTAGCGTATGCCACGGCCCCAATCAAGCCCAACCGATCCTCATTGACGATTCATGCAGAACCTTGTCCTCCCGAAAGCCGGTCCAGCAAATTGGCTGTCTTTTCTTGGCGTCGGCTTTGGTGCAGTGCTCATCGGCATGGGCTTCGCAAAGAGCTGGGGTATGATGGCCCTCTGCCGTGCTTTGCTGGGAGTTCTAGAAGCTGGTTTTCTTCCGGGATGCACATATCTCATCACCTGCTGGTACACCCGGTTTGAAGTTGGAAAGAGATTATCTGGGTTTTGGATTCTGTCCGTCATCACAGGTGGCTTTTCTGCCATTTTCGCATATGTCCTGACTCTTTTGAAGGGCAAGGGGGGACTAAACGGATGGAGCTGTTAGTGTCCCAGTCCTGCGCGATATTCTGAGGGTAATGCTGACAGAGTTGACCAGGGATCTTCATCATCGAGGGCGCCATCACTGTCGTCGTCTGCGCCATCGGCTGGTTCATCATCATAGACTTCCCCACGCAAGCTGGAAAGTTCTTGAAGCCAGCCGAACAAGAGTTCATCATCGCCCGCATCAATCAGGACCGGGGAGATGCCGAGGAGGACAAGATTGATGGAGCGAAGATTTTGCACCATCTCAAGGACTGGCGGTTGTACTTTTGGGCATTCAACCTCATGGCCTCGACATTGCCCGGTTATGCTTACTCCTACTTTCTACCCATCATTCTCCGCAACGGCATGGGCTTCAGTAGCACCCAGGCTCAGCTGCTATCTGCCCCACCGTACGTCCTAGCTGCCATCATGGCCTATATTTCGGGCTGGCTCGGTGACCGGTATAAGATGCGCGGCCCCATCATTGCAGTGCATCAAGCTCTAACGGCTGTCGGCATGTTGATAACTGTCTATGGGAAGGCAAATGGTGCTCGATACTTTGGAGCTTTTCTTGGTAAGTCATCTACACCCGACATGTAATGTGTTATCTAACCTCTGCTCTAGGCATCGGGTTCTTGCAGTTTTGTGTTCCTGGTGTGCTCACATTCCAAGCAAACAACATCACGTCACACTCAAAACGTGCAGTTGCTTCAGCGACCTGTCTTATTGGTGGTGGCGTTGGTGGTATTATCGCCAGCACAGCCTTCATGGCAAAGGAGAGTCCTCATTATACGGTAAGTTAAAGCTTATGACGTGACATCTCCGGAGTATTTGAGATTGCTGACTTTGCTACATCAAGACCGGCATTTGGACAACCTTCGCTATTTCCATGGTGAGTATTCTGATGATCATCATCATGGACATTCACCTTTGGCGATGCAACAAAGCTGCCAAGGCAGGTCATCGGCAGAATGAGGGTATGGAAGGCTGGATGTATACTCTTTAGAAGTTTAGTGATGTATGTTACCGTAAAGACTTATTTCAAGACTCTGAAGACACTCTGAATACACCCAACATCTACCGTGAAACCCTCGAAACCTCCATGGAGACAATGTTCATTTTCTGATGGCACACCTTTCTGCCCTTCCTAGACCGGGTATGTGAATGCCTTCCAAGCCGATCACAAGGTCGGTTATTTCGAAAGTCCATTGAGGGAAACACAAGTCCTATGATTGTGGGGACACATAAACCAGCCCTTACTTTCCCTCAATCGCTTCCGAGATGACCCCTAAGGCTGTAATACCACTACCGTCATGAGGACGCTACCATGGTTTGACTGTCAGTAACTGCATCCCACGTGGCGGTCGACATAATTAGATATTTACTGACCTGACTTCCGTAGAATCCTGTAATTGCTGTTCCAGGAGACGCGGTAACTAGGAAAGGTAAACTGCTGGGTGGATCAGAATGGAATGAGAAGAAACATGATCTCTCTCGATTTGTGGTCGCCTTCATGTCATTCGTTCGGTGTTAGTCCTCATAGAGTGACAACCAGATGACTGTGAGTAACTAACCTTAAATGCCACCACAGTCCCTTCTTCGACCAGCCAAGGATAACCTTCATCGGGGTAATGCTGGAACCCCTCAACAGCATTGATGAATTCGCCTCCAGCTCCGTCAATCGCGAAGTCGATGGCTTTTGTCCAATCTCCCGGCGCTTGGCATCCAAATGTTCGATGTTCCGAAGGGACTGGAACGTCGTATGCGAAGTCGATGCGACGTATGCCGCCGCCACCCCAGATGACGCTGAGACGGGTGAGATTTCGAAGGTAAATGCCACCTGGGCCACCGAATGAAGTCCAAAATAAAGGTTTGTATCCGCTCAAATAATGCTCTCTCGGAGGAAACGACGCTTCGTTCAAGCAAAGGGTGTGTTCCGGTACATCAGGATACCATATTCCCGAATTTCGCAGCCTGTTTCCATCCTGTGCCGTTCTATTGGGCGACGGAGACTGACGATAGACAGATAGGCTGACAATTTTGCAGCCCTTTAAAGTTAGCAAATATGGGCAGCAACTTGGCAATTCGTTGCACTTACATCGAATCCAATGTCCAGATCAGCAACGCGATCACCCATGTCTAAACGCAGCGTCTTAGGTGACCTTTCCGGACAGCCAATCCAGGGAGAGGTTGGAGATTTTGAAGAAATGCCCTGCAAAGCTTGAATACCCCTTGATCCCACGGCCAACTTGAAGCCACGGAGATCTGAAGTTCCCACAGATTGCTCAGACGCGGTCCAGTAGCCAACTTGACAGATATCGCCTGCAGCATTGGTAAATTTGAGTCCAGTGACGTAACTCATGTCCCCCAAAGAAAGGGAACAGACAGAAATTCGCGATAACCCTTCAGGGATAGTCACACGATGCCTTTCGAAGAGACGAGAGCCCTTGTCGAATACGGAGTAACCTGCAACCGGCTGCTCCCACAACTCGCCAGAAACTTCTAAACGCTGGTCAGAGCGTGGAGAATAATTGACGCCAATCTCGACCCAACGGAAATCCAGAATATCCACAAGCGTCTGGGCTAGATTCCAAACACGAGCTCTGTTTTGTAGGCCAAAGCCTCTACGCAGATTGTTCGTTCGGCGATACAACCATCTCCAATTTTGAGTCTCCGTGCTGTGACGAGCCTCAAAGAGCCATGAGCGGTCTGAAGAATCTCTGAATCTCGATGCCCAAAACTGTTGATTATTGAATATGGTCCAGAACGCACGTGAGGCTAAGCGAAGGTTCAAGACATCCACTGTCGGCAGATACATGGCGATCACTGACCGGAGCTCTTCTGGAAGTGCAAAAAAGACGTCTCGTCCTGGTGTCGTTGATCCAGAGACCGATAATGTTGAGCTTGGAGGCGATTCGGGGTCTTCGGTCAGCAGATTCTGTATCTCTGGGACGTCGTATGGGTTCATTGTGAGGACAGGATCGGGCTCCATGTACTCTCGATCGGAGAATTGGTCCTCCCATGGGAAATGGTGTTCGTTATCAACGAGAACCGGCCCCTCGTAGTCGTGGCCCCAGCTGATACTCACACCATTCGCTGGGAATGGAAGCGATTCGCAGACGTGGAATAGTCTGGACAGTGGCACTTCTTCCGGATGAAAAGCCTTCTGCAAGAGATCCCAGCAAGCTTCGTGGAAAACAAATCCACGTCGTCCATTAACTTCACCCTGGCTCATTGCGCCAAATTGGTCGTTCACGGGATTGTCATGGCCAGAGTCATCCCACCGGCCGTTGGGGTCGACAGGCGCAATGAAGGTGCCACTTCCCGGATCATCATATAAGCCAACACCCGTAAGAATAACGCCATTTGGGCTACTGGATACTTGAGTAAAGTTAGCCTCCGTCGAAGAAAAATTACTAGCGACGATGCACTTACGAGCGCGGGACTGATTCAGCCAGGATATGTTGCCCGTGGGATCGAGAATGACCCACCCGCAGAGGGTGCACGAGCATATACGAGGACTCATGTTGGTTGCAGGGGACGGTGTGGGGGGGAAGATTGAATTTAAGTAGATCCAGAAAAAATAGCGGAAGACCTCTCAGTCACCTCGGAGTAACGTCTTGCCCTTTTTTCATTGGCGGACTTGGGTTGGTACGTTGGAAATCTGTACTTGTGAGGGCGTCCCGTGTTACCACAAATGGCCTCATCATGACTTGTGAAGAGTAGAATGATGCGGATGTAATTTTTTGATTGTGACTTAGGGTAAGAATCAACATGAAATTTAAGGCAACTTCTTCGTCTCTTTCAAAATCCAAAGCCTACTGTGTTTTGTTAACAACGACTTTGATATTTTCACTGCTTTACTCTACTATTTGATATAAGAAGGGCTGTGTCCCCCGTGTGCGTACAAAATTTGAAGTTACACCTACGCTACAGACGGCGAAGTACGATAGTGTCTGGCAACGACAGATCTGTAGATAATAGACCGCTACGATGACAACAATCGACGACGACGACAACAACCGATGATGATAACGATGGAAAGCCTCCAAAAAGAGTCATTTGTCCCCTTTGAGGTGCGATGAGCCGCACTGTTATTCCTCCCGTGCCCGCTTCTGGGCTGCTTCGCTGTCGCCAGCATTTGCCTTCTTAGGGGCCTGGACGATCATCGCAAAGTAGGAGTATATCTCCGCTTTGGAAGGTTCATTTCCGTACTAATCACAATTGTATGTTAGCTTGAGTCTTGAGATGATTGATCTACTAGTCAACTCACGGCTATGTAGGAAACCTGAAGCTTCGAGTCGCCGTTGTTCTTGTTCAACCAGATAATGTTGTTCGTGTTGAATCTGATTTTCTTGGTATCAAGGGCTGTCTCGAACATTTCCTTGGCTTCGTTGTCGTATTCTATCATCTGTCCGCAGTACTGCTTACTGAGGACTCCGACAACTCTTTGTGGGTCATACTCTTCGTCCTTTTCGTCGTCGGAATCGGTCTCTGTCCAATCACCGCTCTTCTTCGACCTCTTCTTTGACTTATTCGTTTTCTTGGTGGGGTCAGCATCGGCAGCACCGTCGGAAAAATTCCCATCGTCCAGTTGCCGGCGACTCCATCGGCTGCTCATGGGGTTTTCTAGAACAGCACACAAGTGGACCTTCAGTCCCAAGTTCTTGAAAATTTCGTAGAGCACCATGTCGATACCCTTGAGGCAGAATGGAAGCCCATGCTCCTTGTCAGTATGGGGATAAGCGTATGTGCTATAGATTCCCAGAAGTCTGCTTTTAGCCTGGAACTTCGTTGAAGTCACCATTGCTTTCATTTCATGGTAGAGCGGCAGCATGGTAGGGGTGAAAGCAGATGCTTGGCTAGCGAGGGCCCCGCTCCCAGCAGTAGCATACAGGTTGTATGTGAGGGTAATTCTGTGGCCAGACTTGACCTCAAACACCTCATGTTCACAATCGCTGTAAAATGATGCCCACTGAATCGAAGGCTTTTCGGAGTTTTCGGCCCAGTCAAATGAATGGGTTATTTCGTTATGTCTCACAGCAAGCTCGCCACCCTCGTGCTTCATAGGGAGGCAGACAACAAGTGAGCCGATCTGGTAGCTGGATCGGGGGGTGTCCACGTGTGCTTTGAACTTGCCCGAAGGTCCAGAGTAGATCTGTGGTTAAGTCAGTCAAGTAAATAACAACTTTACCATTCGAGTGGACTTGAACAAGGGACGGCTAAGGATGGTGATGAGGAAGGAAAGAGGTAGTGAGAGGTAGAGACGACGAGTGGTGTCGCCGATAAGGGTCAACGACGACTGGGACAGGGAGTAAAATGATGATGACGCTGTGAGTGCAAAGAAAATAAGGTAGTGAAAACAAGAGGCCTCGACGAAGGAGAAATCAGAGGCAGAAAAAGTGTCTTTCTCAGTAGAAAAAGAAAAGGATAAACACTTGAGACCACTCACATTCATGTTGTACAGCTCAGCGCGAAGTGACCGCTTGGTTTCGGCTGTGTCGAAGCTTGGGAGGAGGACCTGGCAAATAGCATCAATAATACCTGTTTCGTACGGGCAGAAGGTGGTGCAGAAATCATTAGCACCAAGCTTCTGGGCCTTGCGGTAAGTCTCATCAAGCTCATGTCGTCCGTTCAATCCGAATGTCGCCTTCTCAGAAGCTTTGAGAAGATGCTCAAACGCCGCAGTGTCCTCGTCAGACGTGAGGGGGAAAGAAACTCGATGTGGTCCGGGGTGGTCCGCTGGGTTGTCCCATCGAAGGATAACAGGAGCCGACGAGACCTTCTTCTCCTCGCTCTTCTTTGCCTTCTTGCTGGTGCTTGAAGCGCTAGGTTGTCCCTTCGGCTGCTCGATAGGAATTTCTCCACCGATAGCAAATGTGCCAGCAGCCAGATCTGCGGCAGAGATGGAAGCTTTCACCTGCTTGGCAAGCGCCCGAAGAGTAACCGCGGCAGGCATTTCGAAATGAGATGGCCTACTTTTCCTAAGTTAGCGCGGCTATACTTTCAGTATGATTAAACCTCAAATGAATCTTTGTCTTAACCGAGGCATTGGTTGTTATCTAGAGACGACGATGACGACGTTCACGACAATGACAATTAGACAACGCCGGCAACGTGGGTGAGACTAACGGGAAATTAACCGAATGTAAAGTCAGTCGGCAGGAGAAGAAGTGAGCCTAGAAGACTAGTAGCACACTCAAGTCTGTATCGTAATGGGATCTGCGGCGTGAATACTGCTGGGTTGAGGCCGAATCAGATGGTGTTGAGATGACAGAATGGAAACGAGGTTTGGAAGAGCTGAGCTGGGGCTAGAAAAGCGGTTTAAGTATTGGTGAAAAGTTCATCTCCAATAGTCTTGAACCTGTATGGTCAATGGATCCGTGTAACTGGTTTAGCAGCTCAGCGATTACCCAGCTCCTTACAACAAGGTGATACATTGGATTAAGTGTGGACGCTGATTGGCTTCACGTCAATGACTCTTCCCATGGTAAGACCCTTACCTTTTGGAGGCTCAAACCAGGCTGGTGCGAGTGGTTGCCTTGAGTCTCCAAATATTCAGGCAGCAGGTGGAGAAAACTAGACGTCGCATTGTGCAGGCCCGTGGTATCGCGCCACCCATAGCGGTAGCAGAGCTACAAAAGCCCTCACATAACATCTCGATTCTGTGCGGAGTGCATGCATCTATAGCCAAGGTGCGCAACCCTGCTGTTTCCGGTTCCTAGTCAACATGTGAAAGTTTGGATGCAGGAATTGGACCAGCGCGCTTTTCAGCAAAACATTCACCCAGGTACATTCGCGCTATGCAAGAATGCCAAAAGGTTCCACCAACAAGATGCAATCTGAATTAGTGCGAACCAACATTTACGTCTGTATCTGTCCCAAAGCTCCAGAATCCGAAAGAGAAAGATCCCCCTTAACCCGTGACCAATATTTTATGTGAACTTTCTGACTCAAGAGTCCTCCACACCCTTGATCACCACGGGGAAGCTGCCTTCAGAGACAGTCTGGTCTTCGTTCCAGAACAAAAGGTAGATATCTTGGGTGTCGGTTGGCTTGGCCCAGAACTGAGCCTGAAGCTCCGAGTTGTTGTTGTAGACAAGCTGGGTAGCGAACAATGCCCAACCGTAGGTGCTTTGGTTGACGCTAACCACAGGAACCTCAGAGGTCAGACCCATTGCACGGTCCTCGCTGTCAGTGATAGTGAGGTATCCAGCAGAAGTGCCATTGACGAAAGTTCCGTTGACCTTCCAATTCTGGCCGGTGATGGAAGGGAGGTTCCAAAGCATGGGCTCAAGGTTGGCGGACGAGTTGTCGGGAGTTTGAGTGATGTAAAGGTATCCTGGGAATCGGCTGTTAGCGATGGAACCGTCTAACCTTGGATAACTATGTGCGTGCAGTACTTACCATCATCAATCCCATAGGCGATAGGCCACGACGAAGATTTAGTGCCGTATGCAACCAAGGTGGCATTAGTCTCGGCCTTTCTCTTCTCAATAGTGGAGGCAACGGCAGCGGCACAGGTCAGACCGGCCTGCAACAGACCAAAAACTGCGGTCTTGGAAAGATACATCGTGATTATTGGTGCGCAATAACGACTGAATGAACGACTGGAAAGCAATAGCAAACGAGGGTAATGGCCGTTGACCGAAACAAACCGAGTCCATCCAGTCCGGAATCAGAGCCATTACATACCTTAACTTAAGTCTATCCAACAACTCACTTGCATGTAAAAATAAGCGTCGGTAATCAACCCACAAAGCCTATCAACCCTACTGAATCCCCCACAATACGATGTTACCAACCGTGGTGGATTCGACGCTAAAATTCCAGATGAGGGGCAGTTGCGAGCAAGATGGAGCTTCTCGTGCGATTTAGCATACAGCACAGGCCCGAAAACGCGGGAGAAGCCGTTGGAAGGTCTTTTTAAGGAAACATCTTGCATTTGAATCCTTTGTTAGAGTGCTGAATCCTGGACGAATGGAGTTGTCCTTGAATAATTGGAGCCGTCTTCGGACTACCTCCACTTTCGGGGCTGGCGATAGTGCAGTGCTATGCTTCGTGTCGATCGTCCCAAGTTTAAAGTACGCGCAACCCCCTTTCGTCATGAACCTCCGTGGATGCAACACCGATAACCCCTGCAAGTGTGCTTGTCAACGCACTCTAATCCCTAAGCCCCCGGTTTGCTTGAGGCTTAAACATACGCCAAGGTCGACAAGCTTCCTGCCGTTAGCCGTTGTCCAGCTTAATTTTGCCGTTCTAGACTAACAATGGCAAGGCATTGTTTCTAAGCGGGACCTGTAAGATTAGATCGCTATGTGTTCGGGCGCAAAACACTGCTGTGAACAGGGATTTTCCCGCTCCCGATGGCTTTAAAGCAACCGAATCAATCAGCCTCATGATCTTTCCACCACATTCCGTTTGATAGACAGGGAAACTGACCGCGATGTTGTGGGATGCTGTGGGAGAAGAAAGGGTTTCCGGCGGAAGTTGCCGTCATTAGTTATCGCAGAGTGCGGTTCCCATTACATCACGAGGTGGAATGAAATCGGGTTGCCCGTGAGATGCATTTACTTATCAACCGTTGATGCGCCCTTTCCTGTGTTTGCTGTTGCTTACTTCGGCACGCTTTGTCATTCGTTTTTGGCTTCATGCCATTAGTCTGTCTTTAACTTTGTTTCTTACTTCCAATCGTTCGTAGTCCATAATGGTTTCCGCCAAAACATTCGCTACCTGGGCAGTTGCCGCCATTGCTGGCGTTGCCGCTGCCCCTTCTGAGCTTCACCATGTCGCCCGTCGCGACTGTGGAAGCAAAGGAAACGCAGTGTCTCAAGCCGAGACTGCTCCTGTTGCCGCAACCTCTCACCAGACCTCTACCGACGGCCAGACTACCAACGGAGGTCAAACCACTACCGGTGGCCAAACTACAACCGGGGGTCAGACTTCAACCGGCAGTGAGACTACCACCGGTGGCCAGACCTCTACCAGCGGCGCGGCCTCATCTGGCGATGACAGCACCTGTGTCAACAGCCCTACTAGTCGCCAGTGCTGGCTTCCTGGTTACGATCTGACGACCAACTACTACGAGAATGTTCCCGACACGGGTATTGTCAGAGAGTACTGGTTCAACATTGAAAACACCACTGCTTCCCCTGACGGCTACGAGATGCCCGTGCAGTTGATCAATGGATCCTTCCCCGGACCCACCATCATCGCCGACTGGGGTGACACCGTCAGTAAGTAGTAAATCATAGCAAAGAACTTGCATCTTACGGAGGCTAATGACGTCTGCGAAAAGTTGTTCACCTGACCAACTCCCTCCAAACCAACGGAACTGGTCTTCACTTCCACGGCATCCGTCAGAACTACACCGACCAGATGGATGGCGTTCCCAGCATTACCCAATGCCCCATCGCCCCCGGAGACACCTACACCTACAAGTGGCGGGCTGTTGAATATGGCACCGGCTGGTATCACTCTCACTTCTACGTTCAGGCTTGGGACGGCGTCTTCGGCGGTATCACTATCAATGGCCCCGCCACTGCTAACTACGATGTCGATCTCGGCCATCTCTTCCTGAACGACTGGTACCATGTAAGTAACTGATGGCGTCAGACTCCTTTCAAGGGTATGGACTAACCGATCTCAGCAAACTGCTGATGAGCTCGTTTCTCACGCTGCCACCGGTGGCCCGCCGACTGCAGTCAACGGTCTCATCAACGGAACCAACACGTACAACGACACCATGGGATCCCGTTTCGAGACTGTCTTCGAGGCTGGCAAGAAGTACCGCCTGCGTCTTGTCAACGCCGCTGCTGACAACCACTTCCGATTCATGATTGACAACCACACCATGGAGGTCATTGCCAACGACTTCGTCCCTATTGTCCCCTACAACGCCACCCAGCTCAGCATCGGCATGGGTCAGCGTTACGACATCATTGTCGAGGGCAAGGACCTGACCGACGGCGACTTCTGGATCCGCGCTATTGCTCAGGAGGCCTGCTCCGAGTCTGATGCTGTTGACGATGTCAAGGGTATCCTCCGCTACTCCAACTCCTCCACCTCCGAGCCCACCACCTCTGCCTACAGCTACGACGACTCCTGCGCTGACGAGCTGTCCTCAAACCTCATCCCTCACCTCGCCATCAACGTTTCTTCCGAGTACATCTCAACCGATGAGAACGTCGGTGTCATGGTTCAAGACAACGCCCTCCTTTGGACCATGAACAAGACTTCCATGCACACCCAGTGGGAGTATCCCACCGCCCTCCAGCTCTCCCAGAAGAACGAGACCTGGCTGTCCAAGCAGAACGCCATCCGCTTCCCTCAGGTCAACGAGTGGGTCTACATGGTCATCCACTCCCCCTTCGCGCAGGATCACCCCATGCATCTTCACGGCCATGACTTCTGGCTCCTGGACGCTGGTTATGGTAACTTCGACCTCGATCAGACCGACCGTCTGACTCTTGTCAACGCCCCGAGAAGAGACGTCGCCATGCTGCCTGCTAGTGGTTACATGGTCATTGCTTTCCCTACCAACAACCCTGGTGTAAGTCATTCCGTGCACTTTACTTGTCGAGGATTTTGCTGATTATGTATCCTAGGCTTGGTTGTGCCATTGCCACATCGCCTGGCACACGTCCGAGGGCTTCGCTGTGCAAATTATTGAGCGCGAGTCCGAGATTGAGTACGACAGTGACGCGCTTAACAAGACCTGCACCAACTGGTCCAACTACGTTGCCCGCGTCGACCTGATCCAGTACGACTCTGGTGTTTAGAGATCTCAGCTGTAATGGTAATCACGGGGGTCGAATCGGTGTAATAATTCAAGTACATAGGTTGCAAAGGAAAGCGAAATTTCTGGAGCCAATGGCATGTCATTCTTTACCTTGCAAATGCGTTCATAATGCTTGGTGACACTCACTGATGTGACACCTCGGCCTGTGATGACTGTGA